GAGCCAGAAGAAAGGAGCACGGACCTGAACCGGCAGCCTGGAGCAGAGCCGAAAGGAAGGAGCACGGAGCTGAACCGGCAGCGTGGAGCGGAGCCGGCAGCCGGGTGCCCGGGTGGATGTGCCACTTGGGGCACTGTCTCCAAATCAGCAGAGCACAAAATCCCTGCAGGGATGATCCCAGTTGAACCCTCTGGACACAGTGTCCAGGGTCACAGCAGGGCTGGGAGCCAAAACGCCCAGCCCCACTGCTGGGAAATGTTCCCCTTCCTGGAGGAGGGAAGGACGGAGCCCAGGATCGGCTGCCACAAAGTCGGCATTGCGGCACTGGGGGGTGGCACCTCGCTGGGCACCGAGGCATCTCCAAAGGGCTCCACCACTTCTGTGTGACAGGACCCTCGGTGTCACATGTGCCAGGCTCCGTGCTGGCCGTGGCACTTTTACAACGCCGGTACCCACACATTAGTGCCCATGCAACACTGATACCCATGCGGTGCAGGATCCCTGCAACCCAGCGCCCATGCAACGTAGCTCTCCATGCAGCACCTCTGTCAATGCCCTGCTGGCACCCATGCAACACTGGTGCCCATGCAACACTATCACCTTGCAATGCTGGCACCCATGCCATGCTGTAACCAACGCAATGCCACGGCGATTGCAGTGCTGGCACCTACCACAGGTGCCCATGCAACACTGACCCCACACAACACCACTGCCCATGCAACGCTGGTGCCCACGCAGCACTGGTGCCCGTGCAGTGTCAACACCCATGCATGTGTGGCACCTATGCAATGCCAGCACCCATGAATAGGTCACCCATGCAATACCAACACCCATGAATATCTGTCACCCAGGCAATGCCAACACCTATGCGTGTGTATCACCCATGCAGCCCTGGTGCCCATGCAGCCCTGGTACCCATGCATGTCTCGCCTATGCAATGCCAGTGTCCATGCAGTGCCAGCACCCATGCATGCCTGGCATCCCCCCTGCCATCTCAGCGCCCCCCAGCAGACCGCGCAGCCACTCACTGCTCATCTCCCCCAGTGAGATGGATGATGTCCGTATGCCAGGGTCTTCGTAGCCTTCAGGGTCCAGGTTTTTCCTCATCACGTCCTCGTAGACGTCCTGTGGGCGAGAGGAGGGTGAGGGCAGGCAGGGGGTCCCCAGCTCCCGGCCGGGGCCGTGGGCACAGCGGGGGCCAGGGCTGCCGGCGGTGCCTCCCTACCTGGCCTGGCCCCTCCATGGCTCCTCGCTGGGCCCTGCCGCCGCCGCGCTGGCTCCCTGCACTCAGCCCGGGGGCACCATAACCCCGCGGCCCCCGGCTCTGCGGCGGGCGGCAGAGAAAGCACGTTAGGACTGGGGGGGGGGACACGTGGGAGCCCCCCCGGCTGCCACTGCAGCAGAGCTGTTTCCCCCAGGATGGGGCCGTGGGGACGTCCCCGCAGCCCCGACGTGAGGGAGACGTAATGGGCTCCCTGGGTGCTGGGAAAGGTCCCGGGGGAGCTGCCCTGCGCCAGGCCTGGGGCCTCCCATGGGAGGTGCTGCCCTGTCCCACGGGACACCCGAGCGCCGGCAGCGGGATGGGAAAGCAGACACGGACGTCGAGAGGAGGCTCTGGAGGAGCATCGGGGCCAGGTCTCGGGGGAGGGGAAATGAACCCAGGTCCTGCAGGGGGGATACACCCGGGCCGGGTCCCACGGCCACCCCCAGGTCGCGGCGCACAGAGTCCCGCGTCCACCTGGCCCAGACCCAGCTCCGAGGTGAGAAAGCAGGAAGCGAGACCCGGAGGGGCTCCCGGAGACCCCCGAGGGCAGGAGGGAGCCAGCACCCCCGGCACCCAAGGGAGCCG